CTTTAAATTATTCAGAAAACAGGTCTTATATACAGGTCTTATAAATCATGGGCTTACTTTATCTTCAAACTCTTTTTATAAGCATACATTTTCATGTAGACATATTTTACTGTCATCCCTGTCCGTCCGTCCATCCGTCTGTATTTTGTTTGTAGAAACTTGCTTGAAATATAGGATTATATCCCAAAGATCTTGATTAGGGCCCCTGAGTGTCTGAAAAATCGTACATCTCTGTCCATCTTTTGCATAATGTGAGCATACATGTATCTTGAATAGCAACCGCTTGTTTAACTCTGATACAATTATTTAAGTATTGCTAAAAATATTCTTAATTAGGTTTCAAAGTTTCCTTAAAGATACAATTGCAGTTGGCCAATAGATATGTGTAATCATTTTCCTCATTTATATTTATCAAATATTAGGGATAAAATGTGTTCATTTGATAGTTATTTAGACAATTAAATAAAGATATGAAGATTAGATACTGTCTTAGTACTGAGGTTCGTGGATGTTCATTGTTTAGACATCAACAGACAATAGCGATGCAAAATCAGTAGAAAGTAATGTGAACTTGAGATGGCTGTATATTAACAGTTTTGAACCTACATGCTTTTTACAGCTATTTAAATATAGTATTGTTTGATTCATTTTGCTAAAAAGCAGTGAATAAATAAATATGTGACTATTTTTGAATATGTTATGTTTACTTTTTCTTGGAACTTGTGTGCATTTTTCATTGTATTTTGAAAAAAACAAAATATAAAAAGAAACTTTATTATTAGTTATATTATTTATATAAAAAAAAAAGATAACCATTAAATAGTAAATATATTATTTATAAAACAGAACATGTATGTTGTTTATTAAAAAAAAAACTTGTCAATCTGGAAGTCTTTCTTCATATTGAAGACATAGAGAACTGTAAACGTTATTTGTAGCATGAATGGATGAGAAAGGTATAAAGATGATTGGTTAATATATAGCATGTGACTGATATAAACACATGTGGTAAATATACAGTATATATATGAAAGTTTATCTCTATGTTTTTACTTACTAGTAGGAATACACCACACTAGTTGATGGTGTAGTGTGTTATATATTTTATTTTCAACAATAATAATAAATGATTTGACAATGGATACTGATTATTTGAAATACCTACTCAAGTAAGTTTTATTCAGATCTAGTTGCCAAAAATTCAATTTCTTGTAACAACATCATTATACATCTGATTATTATTTATTTGTTTCATGTACAGAGCCATGGTGGCTCAGTGAGTAAGGCACTGGCTCACTAACCAGGAGATACTACTAGTTCAGTGGGGCAGAACAGAGGGCCTGGCTAGGAGCAGCTGGGTAAATTTCCCTCCTAGCACACTGCATTGCATATAATTCCTGGCCATTCCACTATGTTTGGTCTTGTCACTACCATATCGATGCCTGTCTCACCTTGTGGGTTTTCTTAGGGTCCTCAGTATCCTAGTGCATTCCCTAGTGGATTCACATGCGCTCTGTATAATAAGGTCTTTCATTGACTCAACTTGAGTAGGGTTGCCTGTCCAACCTCGTGGGGTTTCTCTGGGTCCTCCAGTTGCCTCCCACTGCTAAAGACCCCTACGCACAAGCGAATTATATAAATAAAATTGAACCATGTGTTAGTCCCGAAATGTCCTAGTTTGTGTCATGTGGACGGTAAACCCCATCTCTTTCTCTCTCTCTCTCCCTTGTCAGGCCGTCCATCCTGATGAACTAACTTTCTTGGCCAATGCAGGGATCGAACACCTGACATCTAGGCTAGCGAGCCACTGTCTTACCCACTTAGCCAGGACACTGGTGACCATAGTGTCCAGTAGTGAAAGGATCATACATTATTTCATTTCACTTCTAACTTTTAGCATACACAAAATGTTGTTAAAATGTGGAAGATAAAAATCTTAAAATATGTCTGTTTCTGGTCACTGTGACTTTGTATTTAACCATTAGATGAATTTATATCCTGTTGATTCCTAAGAAGAGCTTATTTTCAATGAAATTTAAAGATTGGCTATCCTGCTGACTCTGGATTTCAAAATATTTAAATTGAGAAGAATGTTAACAGTCTTAGGCGTGTTTTTTCTTTTGAAATCAGTGTATAAGAGATAAAATTAGATTACAGATTTTATAAAAAATCTTTTATCAAAAAATGAAACATGGCGAGTGTTGGGTGAGTTGTTGATGTTTTTTTAATTATTGAATTATATTTTAGTCAGTTTAAATTAAGTCTTGTAGAGTTTTAAATAGATAAACCAGCAGTGTACATATACCCAGTGGTTTATATTTGAAATAGTTTGGTATACATGTGGTGAGGAAGGATGTAGAAGCTATTGTTTAAAATTAAGCAGGTCACAGATTTACAAATACACTAGTTAAATACACAAATTTATACCTGAGTACATGGCATATACTACATCGAGTAAAAATAAAAATCACCTCACATAAATAAAGCTATACAAATTCAAAAATTCTTGAGTATTTTTTACCTTAAAAGGTCATGGAAAGAACCAGAGAGAACATGAAGACTAGGTCACATAGTTTTTATATATATTTTTATATATCATAAAGGGATGTAGACAAGTGTTATTTCTTTATATGCAGGATGTTACTTATCTTGATAAACAAAGTATATATGTTGAAAAATAATTTTAAAAAAAAGAAAGAATTTGAATTCTAATTACAAAGTAATTGTTCTGAATTATAGAATTTAATCAGCTTTGAATAAAGCGTCTGACATGTTTATTAAATACCAATATAGATCATATTGTGTGACTCCAGGTTATGCTGACAACTTTACTCTTCTATGGGAATATGTCATAGTGTGAAAAAAATATGTAAAAATCAAAGACTACAAGGAAATGTGCAACTATAACACATGTAATAGAGGAGATAACTTGATTCCTAATTTTCAACAATGACATAATGTGATATATGAGGCTGAATCATTGAGACTACATGTAGTACCAACTCATTGTACAAATAAACTGTATAAAATTACCTCACAGACAGGCTTCATGGTACGAATAATCTGCTCGCTTAATGTGCATTGACTAGATTATCAAAATTACTGTTACTTGTGCTAATTAACTAGATCGTAAACTGAATGAGGCTGCATTTGTGACATGGCCGATTCTCACAAAGGAAAATGATTGCAATAGACAACAACAATATTTTTATGTTACAAATGGGTACCATGGTCAGGACTATCTAATCAGAGGCTTGTAGGAATGAATAACCTGCACGCTTAATGCGTATTGATAAGATTATCAAAATTACCATTATATGTGCTGATTGACTGGATTGTAAACTACTGAATAAGGCTGCATTCGTTACATGGCTGATTCTCACAATTTTTTTTATTTCCAGGATTATAGAATTTTTTTTAGGATATCAGTAGGCTACTTTACTTACTTGAAGTATTATGAAGAATCTGCAAGCTTGTAATTTTATGGAATTACCAAAATTGCTGTAAAATTTATATGTACTAATTACCTGAATCTGTCATTATTGTCAATATTTAAAAATGTAGATTCACAGATAGAGCCATTGTTGATTTCTGGTTAATCTTTCGAAATAAATATCTTCGAAATAGCACATCATACTGACACAAATCAGATTAGTTTCTGTAATTAGTAATTGGACTTGTCAGGTATGGTCTTGGTCATAATGATATTCCATGTGCTGAGGACATATGGTTCTTTTCATGTATGGTATATCAATCACAGAAAAAGAAAAAATTATGTTTGTTGATGGTAGACCTTGGTTCTCTTTCTTTTTTTTGCCAGATTAAATACAATCTGTCCCTAAGGTGTTAGATTTGATGGTAGAAATATTAGATATAATAGTAGATGAAAGGAACGATGGTGCTTGCCAGGTATTGACTGAGTACAGCTGTCTCAATAAGAGAAATATGGTTATTAATTTAAAAAGTCTAGATGGATCACAGCTACAAAGTCTGTTGTGTGTAAGGAAGGGTAGTCCATTTTGTCCAGATGTGTAATTGATATATGATACTACAGATGGACAGGGATATTTATTGTGCATCTACAGTATGTTTGATTTATTATCTACCAGTAGTTCTAATTACAATTTGAATTGTCTGCTGTGTTTGTGACTTTGTGTACAGATTGTTGTTTATGGGGTACATGGATGGTCCAAGTCTATGCTTTAGATAACATTGTCTCTTCTCTTCTTTCTTGTGAACAATTCATTTGATTTCTTATTTCTCTGCTGTTTGCAAACAAAACTGAATGAAGCTGGACAGGGCCATTCTTTGGAACATTCTGAAAGCATTAACAGAGGTGAATGTTTGATTGAGCCCTTGGCCCATTTGAACCACTAAGCTTTCAAGCACTATTTCTCAGCTTTTCATGAAACTTGATAAAAATTGCTGGAAATCATTGGCTTATTCTTGATGTAGTCAAACTTTTTTTTCTAGAAGAACACCTTAACACCATCTGTAGCATGTACTGGTACATCTCTCATTAGAGATACCTGTTGTAGGATACATTTATTATTAGAATAATGAGATGTATATGACTATAATCAATATGATGTCTGATGTACTGTTTTGGTATTGACAGATTAATTATTTGTGACCTCAGATCATAATTTAACATCCATAGCTTGATGCTGAAAAATGACTTTAATTGTTTAGCACTGCTCTGATAGAAATGATAATTAGAAGAGTTGGATCTTCCAAATATTACTATTCTATTTCAAATTGTTAGTTATGAAATAGCTTTTTAAAATTATTTTCAACATTCCCATTTTCCAGAAATAGAATTCAATTTTTTGTGTGTTTGAGCAAATTGATCTGTGGTGGGCTAAGGGCTTACACAAATCTGAAAACATTCTCACATGTTATCATCATGATCTGATATTGTTAGATTTAGAATTGCAAGATTAAATTGTATCTCTGAGAAGAGATAACGATCAACCAAATATATATTTGTAATTTTACAGGTTAAAAGAACAGAGAGATCAGGTACATAAAGAGCATCATGAAGAAACAGAACAGTTTAGTAAAAATATGCAAGAGTTAAAATCACAAATAGAAAAATTACAGCAAGAACTTAACAGTAAACAGGTAAGTTTAAGGAAAGACTACTGGGTAATAAACTTTCTGGCTGTAGGAACTTTCTTTTTGAAACTTGTTGTATCATGATGGAATCTGGCTAACCAAATGACTCTACAGGTCAAAGATTAGCTCTTGATAACTGTATTATTGTCATCCCCCAAGGTGAGAGTTTTTCTGATTTTTTTTTCCAAACTTGCTGGGATTTCAGACTAGTTTAGACCTACCAATATTAAGACTCGTACAAAAGTTTTTCACAGAGTTCCTGCCAGTCACCATAACCTTGTAAACTCTAGAGTTGTTTTCAAGTCTGTTAGGATTGTTTTACTAATCATTAGAAGGAACCTTATCGCAATTCTAGCTTGAGCATAAACTTGTATGTAATTTTTGTCTGTGAAAACTTGAAAGCCATCCTTTCCTTTCATATTGAGGTGATTTAATATGAGGGTTAGTGATCCTTCTCATTAACGCAAGGTCTTATTTCTAAGAAATGTTTGTGTAATGATGTTTTTAATGGAATATTGTAATTATATATCAACAGACAGAGTTGTGTGAACTACGTGAAGAGGTAACAGAATTAAAATCTGAGAAATTTCAATGTGAGTCTAAGATTAGACAGTTAGAAGCAGAACTGACACAGAAAAAAGAAGAAGTGGATAAACTAAATAAACAATCAGATGAGGTGAGATAACATTAAGTTTTATCCAACAAAATATCAGGAAACTGTCGTTGGTTATAAGCAGACTTCTTATTTGGGCCAGGTCTAGCAGCTAATGTCTACCTGAGAAATCTCACTGACATTCCGATATTATGTTTTTGTTTCAGGGTAACCAAGAAGTACACAGTAAAGAACAAACTGAAACATCCGAAAAACATTTGATGCAGCTTCAAGGTTCCATAGAACAGCATCAGAGTGAGGCTCTAAGAGCCCAAAAAGAGGTTGAGCGTCTGACTGCTGAGTTAAAGAAGACTGAAACAGAGCAAACAGAAAAAGATGAGAAAATCAAAGACTTAAATGAGTATGTTTTATTTTGTTAATCATGATTTGAAGCTAAGGTTTCCGGGATATTGCAATAATTTTGTCAGCTGATAAAAATTATCGTCTGCAAATCTCGAATATTGGTTTATCACGATATATAATGATAATTCTAAAAAATATCACGATATTTTCATTTTTTATCACAATTCACATTAAATCTGTTCTATATACTCCAAAAATGAAGAAGAAATCAAATTGTAACAATTACCGATACTAGATCTATTCCATTTTCCAAATTCCACAACAGACTTTGAGACAGCCGTTTTTAACGCAAAGTACCAACTGACCGACATTAGTCTCATGGCTCAAGTACATTTCACTGAATAATATTAATCGTTATCATACACGTGTTGGCTACGCTTTGATAAAGTCTGGTCCCATACCCCCACAAAGAAAGCATCCACAATATTTATAATTATGATTGATATTATAACGGTAAGGATACCCCTACTCTGAATGATACAGTTAAACTGCATGCGACAATATACGTCGCCATAGAAACGAAGAGGTGATTTATCGTTCATGATTACCCATTGATATTTTACATTGAAAAATCATCTTGATAATATTTCTTTTATTCTTTGAATAAAATGGCCTCAGAGCTTATATCTGTCTATATCAATCGGAATATTTCTGATGACAGTTCGGCAGAGGGCGAAAACACACTGCTGCTGACACGAAAAAGAGCATTTCTTCTGTCACTCACATGGGGATATTTTAGTTTAAAAAGAATACCTGACAAGTCTGTTAACCAGATATTGAGTTAATGAATATTTATTCGGTATTCTGGGCATTCCAGCTGATCAGAATAGAATGATCTGAGGTAACAATACCTACAGGAATAATTTTACCCCAGCACATGTATATACGTCTCACTTCATCAGTGCATCTCACATACATTGCTAAATACCAAATGGATACATTAATCCATTTATGCACCCCAAGTTATATCAATTTTATATCAGTAATTATCGCGATAATTTACTCCAGACGATAATTCATGATATCGCGATATTTTATTTACAAATATCGCAAAATATCGGGGTATTTTTTTTTCTGAATAGTTGCAACCTAATTGAAGCTCACCCTGCTATATTGATTAACTTATCCGGAATAATAGTTTCTTAATCAAGTAGTTCATGACTGAACAAAGAACAGAAGTAATTTCATTCTTCCTTTCATTAATTGTCAGTCTAAAGTTAGCAATACTTTTATATCCTTTTAAATATTTGACTTCATTTTTTGAAAAAAATATTTATTAGTAAAACCTTAAAATTTATAGTCATGAATATCATGCTGTTATCTGAATGGATAATACAACATGGATGCCAGATTATGCTCAAAATATGGACTATTCTACCACGTTCACTAACAGGTCCACTCGTACTCGTAATGGTAATACCTACACTGTACCTGACAGTAATCTGTGCGCTAAATTTATTGTCTGCAAAAGTGAATACTTACTGGTATTAATAGACTAGTTCATATTTTGTTCTATATCACTTATATAATATAATTTAGATAATTTGTATCTTGTGTATGAATTAAACTATTTTATTTTTTTATTTATCTAGAATTGTGAAAGAATATAAAACAAAAATGGGAACATTGAAGAGAAATCAACAATCTGAGAAAAAAAAGAATGCCCAGTTATTAGAAGAAGCATGGAAACGTGAAGTTGGCTTAAATGAGGATTCATCACAATTGTTGGTTTGTACATTTTCTATATTTCACTATTGATTACATATAGTAAGGTAAAACAGAATTATTGAGCCAATTCCTGTAAACAGTATGTTGATTGAACAGATAAGAAAAATATAGAACCTTGAATTGTGATATTTTTTAGTTCACAAGAATTAATTTCTGGGTCACTGTTCAACAGTAAACAACCCAATTGATTATGGATGTAAATGCTTGTAAATTTGAAATTCATTATCAGAATGAAACACTCAGCTTTAAACTAGACAAAAGTAAAAATTAGATGATTTTGGGTAATTTTAGCAGATTTTTATACGCCCACATTTTCATGTGAACGTATATTGCTGTCGCCCCAGTCCGTCCAAACGTCCATACGTCTGTCTGTCCACAATTGTTTGTGGACACCTTATAGGTCACAATTTTTATCTGATTTCAACGAAACTTGAAATATAGATTTATCTCTCCAAGATCTCTGTTCCTTTTGATATTGGCATGTATCGGACTGTAACTTCATGGATTATGTCTCCTGATTGTACGAAAAATCAAGTTTTTAGCTTGTAGAGGTCACAATTTTTATCTGATTTTGTTGGTTCCTTTCGATATTCGCGCATATTGGACCGTAACTTCCTGAATTATGGCCCCTGATTGTACAAAAAATCATGTTTTTTAACTAATGGAGGTCACAATTTTATTCGAATTTTAAAATCCGTTTGAATATACCACCGTTACACCTTAATAACGGTTGAGTTGAAATTTCGTGGAAATCGGACCAAAACTGCCTGACAAAATGGCCGCTCCTTGTACACAAACGGTGTAAAAATATGGTATATCAAGGTTGTGGACCCTCTAGAGCTCACAATTTTGATCCGATTTTGATGAAACTTAAAATACATGATTATAACCCAAAGATCATGATTCCTTTCAATATATGTGCATATCAGATCGTAACTTCCTGAATTATTGCCCTTGACTGTACGAAAATCGCGATTTTAGCTTGTGGTCCCAATTGAGGTAACAATTTTTAACCAATTTAAAAAAAACATTTGAATATATCACTGTTACACCCTAATGATGGTTGAGTTCGAATTTCGTGAAAATCGGACCAAAACTGCTGGACAAAATGGCTGCCCCTCGTACGCTAATAGTGTAAAAATATGGTATATCAAGGTTGTGGACTCTAGAGGTCACAATTTTCACCCGATTTTGTTGAAACTTGAAATGCATGTTAATAACCCAAAGATCTTGGTTCCTTTCGATATTCACGCTTATTGGATCTCAACTTCCTGAATTATGGCACCTGATTGTACGAAAAATCGCGTTTTTAGCTTGTGGTCCCTCAAGAGGTCACATTTATTATCTCATTTAAAAAAACGTTCGAATATATCACCGTTACACCGTATCGTTGGTTGAGTTCGAATTTCATGAAAATCGGACCAAAATGCCCCCCCCCCCCCCCACGCAAATATTGTAAACATCTGGCATATCAAGGTTGTGGAGCCTCTAGAGGTCATAGTTTTGATCCGATTTTGTTGAAACTTCAAATACAAGTTTATAACCCACAGATCTTGGTTCCTTTTGATATTTGCGCATATCGGATTGTAACTTCCTGAATTATGGTCCTTGATTGTACAAAATTTAGAAGTCACAATTTATATCCGATTTAAAAAAAATGTGTCAATATATCACCGTTACACACTAAAATCTTGGTTCCTTTTGATAATCGCGTATTTCCGAACATAACATCCTGGATTATGGCCCCTGTTTGAAAAATCGCAGTTTTAGCTTGCAGGTTCTCTACAAGTCACAATTTTTTTTCCGATTTTAAAAACTGTTTAAACATATCACCATTCCAACATAATAAAGGTTGAATTTGAATTTCGGGAAAATTGAAATGAAACTGCCCAACAAAATGGCCGCTCTTTGTACGGAAATTGTGTAAAAGTATGTAATACGAGGTTGTGGACCCTCTAGAGGTCTCAATTTTTATCCAATTTTGATGAAACTTAAAACATATCTTCATATCCCAAAGATCTCAGTCCCTTTTGATATTTGCACATTTCAGACCATAACTTTCTGGATTATTGCCCCCGATTGTACAAAAATCGTGTTTGTTTTTAGCTTGTTCTCTATCCATAGCCTGGCAGCCGCTGGTTACAATTTTCAAACAAAGATTTCATATTGAATGAATGCGAATGACATGAGGGCCAAAAACACAAAATTGAGGGATACTCGAGTTACATGTAGGTACAGTGTGGTATGATGGTGATAATGTCTTTCTGACGCTTGTGGTGTTAGGGGAGATAACAGGGGTACATGGAAGAGTTACCTCCCCTGCTGAGTAGTGCTATTGTTTTATAGAGTGAAGTAGATGTCAAAGCAAACCGTATAGAAGAATTAGAAGAAGCATTACGAGAAAGTGTCAGAATAACGGCTGAAAGAGAAATGGATATGGCCGAACAACAACAACATTTGGAGGAAACCAAGACCAAAGTGAGTCATTATTATTTCCTAATATTGTTTTATCTGTCGACAAGTTCATTATGAGTGATTTATGAGTACTAAAATACCAAAACTTTCTAAATATGATATTTCAATGGTTTCTCTTTCGTGATAACCTTGGCAAAAATAGCAAAAGCTAAATGGTAACAAAGTTTGGGTTCAACCTTACTACTAGGTATACTGTAGTAAATTAATGCTTCGAAAAATTTTTAAAATATGATTCTCATTGATTACTGCACATTCACAAAAATCATGAAAACTATATATCGTCGGTGAAATGTATCTAAGAATTTATAAAGATTAAGAAATAGAACCTTTTGCATTTCAAAATGTCCACAAATCAAGATACACCATTTGGACACATGATACCCAGAACAGTTCTAATTGGCGTAGAGATACACAGCTTAGACGGAAATGTGCATATTAAATGGGATATTTTGAAAATGCAAAAAAGTGTATTTGACTAATTTCCCGAGATACACCTTTTTGACACTTCACCGATGATATGGCAACAAAATTTGGTCTCAAGCTGGATAGTATGATGTTGTAAATTAATTCTAGTTCATAAAATGCTTATAAAAAAGGTTTTAAAATGTATATCCTCATTGAAAACTGTGAATCTTTATTTCCTGTAGTAAGGGGATCACGGTGATCCTTTGACAGAAAGAAAACCGCCCTCCTTCGTCAGATTTTTTTGAAACAATTGTCTGAAAACGAGAATGTTTTTGGGTGGTATAGACTAAACCCTATAGTTTATAATATGTTTAGGTAAATGAATTGAAAGCTGAAATTGAAGGTTTACGTCATGGTACAGCTGATCATAATGGTAAAATCTCTAGTTTAAATAAATTACTGGAAGAAAAAGATGTGAAATTACGTAAATTACAAGCAGAAAGATTTAAACATTTAGAAGAAGTATTTGAAATGAAGTAAGTATAATCATATATATGTATGTGAACATTCTTTACACAGAGAAGAGACATTAAAAGGCTGGCTTTAAAGAAGCAATATTATCCATTTGTGTTGCCCAAGTCATGTTTTGTCATGTAGAACAGAAAACCGAAAGCTATTTCCTGAAACATTCCATATTTTCTTGTTTTACGTGATGAAACCGCTAGAATGTCTAGAGTAATATGCATAATAAGCAATTAGTATGCTAAAAGGCTTAGTGGAGACAAATTATTTAGATTGAAAAGAGCTTATTGTCACTTTCAGGCAGATCTGAACAGTTTTCTAAATCAATTGTATATATATAATTTCAGACAGGAAGCCATTCAAGCTGCCATCAGTGAAAAAGATGCAAATATAGCGTTATTAGAAATGACAAGTACAAAAACAAAGAGGAATACAGAAGAAATAGGACGGTTGAATAAAGAAAAAGAAAAATTACAACAGCAATTGAAGGATGTGGTATGATTATTTTAATATATATCTTTTAATGAACAAATCTATAAACTTTGATTTTATAATATTTTATAATATAATATTGCCTGTCAACATTTCTTTCAAAAATTATTGTTTAACTGATAAATGGTCAAATTTTTTCTACCGTAAAACCTAGGCTTACTTATTTATCCAGGTTCGCATGACATTTAATAGAAACTTTTAGATGGACATAAGTTTTGTTAGGTTTGATAAAAACTGATAAAGTATTAGAATATGTATGCTTTTTGCCTTATGTGGGTAATGAATACATCATTTATCCTGTGTTGTTGTCACTTACCTTTATCGGTTGTATATATAAAATAATGTATTTGTGTTTTCAGACACAAAATAGAATAAAGTTAGCAAGTAAAGATGATAAAGGCAAAGAACGCAAAAAATTACTTCCACAAAAGTTGCAAAAATTTGAGAAAGCTGATCCCTACCAGTTGACAGCTCCAGACCCGTCATTGTTAGAATCCTAGTATTAATCCCTGGTTTACCTTCCCATGTTTTTAATTTAGATACATTTGTGAATTCTCATTACTAAAGCAAGTAGTTGACCTTCCAGGAAACCCATTGTGTCTCAACAGAAATGCCTGTAGCTGTGACAAGGCTGATATAAATTGTAATGGACGATGTTCCACCAGGCACAAATACAAATTTATTGGCTTTAAAGTATTTAGCCTATAATATAGAGTACCCATGCCTTGGACCATCTGCTCTCTGCTATTACATCTTGAGTTACAAACACTTGGTAAGATGAAAATGGGTTACTTGAAATAGAAGTTGACATGTCCATTTACAACCAGCTTTATGTATGTTTCATTTGTAAATTTGATTTCAAGTCTCCATTTTCATTATTTATAATAACATGAGGGCTATAATTAATCCAAGTAATAACTTATATTGGGTTTCTGACACACCAAAGAATTTGAAAAATATCCTATCTTCCTTACTTAGGAAATTGCTTTCATTATTCAGAAAAACGGAGAAAAGATTCTAAGCGAGGAAGATATATCTGTAGTGAAGAAGATCGTATTTTTATTCTAGCGTATTTGGGTAATAATTTGTATATTGAGCAATCTCCAGAAAATCCAGACACCCATGTTGTTGTTAATCAGGGTTTTTAATTGCTATGTTTTTGTATTAAACTTTGTGAGAAACATGCAATGTTCTGTTTGATATTATAAGTGGTATTATTATTATACTAAATCATTTAATTGTAGTTGGTGATATTACTGTGCTGTGTACGTACATGTATATTTGAAACATTGAATTTACTAATCGAAATTGATAATGTTCATAAAAATCATATGTTATAGTTGAAAATTAAATATCAACCGAATTTGTCCACAAAACTAGTCATTAAAAAAACATATTCTTCATTTAGTGCTTGTTTTATTTTAGTCAAATTGGACCTCTTTGGTTATAGATTCCCATATTTGTTGCATCCCTCAGGAGATCAATGTTGAATGATAATAGTGCTGAGTGCCGTTTACACACAACCTTTTTCAATTTAATAGGGATTCTGCAATGTATTAAGGAATAATAAATCATGTCTGTAGAATTCTTTTATTGTTATGAATGTATCTTGTTTTATATATTGTCCAGTTCTGATTCTGATCAGACATATGTTGCACTGCCTTAGGCTGAACAGAAAAAATATTCTTGGTTCTTATAATAGTTTCTCAAAGGATGTTTTGGTAATGTGAAAAACAATAAACAGTGGTAAAGATGAACTGTGGACACCAGAGATACAAGACACATATTTGAAAATATAAATATCTTCACCGCTGAAGAACCAAGATTATTTTTACAGCCACATCTGAACTTTGTATAATTGTGTTATCTTTATAGGAATAAAAGTTCTAGTAAAATATATCTTGTGTAGATCTGAAAATGATCATAATATCTATCATAATGACATATATTCATAATCTGTTACATCAGTATATGCTTCTTATTATATAAAACAATAAGTATTCTAGTAACATCTTAAATATCTATATCCTTCATATATGTAGAGTTTAACTAAGTCAGTGTTAATAATGTAATCGTAGATTAACATAATAGTATGTTGATTAATATATAGTATGTTTAAAGACAAAATAATTGAATTATGTCTGTGCATTGAAATATAACCAACCCTCATATACTACATTGTTGCCAAAAGTAGTTTGTAAAATATAAATTGATTAGTAAATAAACTGTCAGTAGAAGTGCAACTCAATAAATAAGTTCTATTTAAATGTTAGTGATAAATATATATGTATTTATATGTATATTGTGTATATAGAATATTTATACTAGTAGAAAGCATAGTACACAATTTTTCATCTTGCCAATTCACTGGTGTAGAAACATTTTAGACTAGATGCATTTACTAGCATTATATATCTTTCTAATATTTTATATATATATTTGATAACAAACTAAGTCATTAGTTAATATGTTGTTGTTTTTTTCTTTCTGTAATACTTGTGTCTTTCATATTAGTAAGCCCACTATTAGTTTTAATAATGTAAGTCTTTATAAAAACATTTCATTGAAATGGGTAAGACTCTATTGAGCTTTACATTCTTTTTACCGGTAATCTGGCTTGCATCAAACGCCGGAATTGAGTGCTTTACTGAATGCAAGGCATACATAGAAATAAGAACTATAACAGTGAAGAAGATATGTTTTATAGATAAGGGGCCTCGTTGACAAAAACTTAAATTCCACAGAATGGATTGTTAGCACATCATAATTAACTAATTGATCTTAAATTTTGGGTAGGGTCTAATTTGAACAGTCCCGATAGGACTAGCCAAATCACATGAAATGGAAGAATGACACAGTGCTAGCTACCGGTACCTTTAAATTACAGAATGCTAATTAATCATTAAGTTCCAATGAATTTTAAGGGATTTACATTGTGAATTAGACCTCTGGTTTACATACAGTGTAAAGAAATTTCCTAATATTAAAAGCTCATTAGTTTAACATATAGAATTTCTAGAGTTATATTAGTGCAATCTAAATGTAAGCATACTATAGTATTAGTAATATAAAGTTGTTTTATACTCACAATTTTAGCTCAATATATTTAAAACGTAGTGCCAATTGACTGTTACATATATTTTCTTGTGATATGGTAATATCAAACTCTAAATAAAACATTTATCTTGCACGAGAATTCATCACATATTTTTAAATAAACACTTATTTCATCTTTTATTTTAATGACCTCTTATGTATTTATGTTTAATTGTGTGAATTGTATCTAATATATTGTTTTCAGTATTAATATGTGTTTTATTGTTTTTCAACAAAGAGTTAATAAATATTTGATATTTTATATTGAATGAATTTATTCCCAAAACAAATAGGAATGAAAAATCTTGAATACTTTTAATTCTTTGTCAGTGTAATATTTAGTCATTTTTTTTTTGTTCTACCCTTGCCATAATAAAACTTACGGAACTATACATTGCTTTCGTGGTAGGTGAAGTTGTACTTTATAGTGTTTACCAATATCTTTTCGATTTAATTCTACATGTAAGTTTTAATTTTTTCTAATAGAAAGTCCTACACACACACACCAATGATTGGTTTTTTTAGCATTTTTCATCACAAAAAATTATTGGTCTGCATTTTATACAATCCAACAGATTGTCCCCAATGTGCTGACAAACTATGTGGGTTACTTAGTATATTTCCAAATGTACACTTTGATTACAGAGATAGTTTGTTTCGGTCTTTGATGGATGCCCTAACCATTGTCATAACACTGACAGCAATAGGGCATTGTTTTGCATGACATTCCTAGGTAGACATGTCTGAAATTAGTGTGGTGCACACTGCACGGTTTGTCGGACAAGATTGCCAGCTGCAAGAAATTGGGCTGTCAGTGACAAATAACCCTTGGTGTGCGTATTCCTAAAAGGACAATGTTGGTGTCCGCCATTATCACATACGAGGTATGTAATAGAACTGGTTAAACACATACAAATACAATTGTAACACAGAGTTCATTGCTACGGTAGATGCGTAACAAAGATTTGAATAAACAGGAAGTGATGCAATGATCTCTGTGTTAAAATTATATTTGGAATGTGCTTAACCAGTTCTATTACATATGTAATAATGGCTGACACCAACATTGTACTTTAAGAGCAGTGCATGTAACCCTGTTTATTAAATTGTGAATGTGCTATCCTTTATTGGCCTAGTAATAATTTATTGGTTTATATACCCATGGGTTGATATTTTAAAACTTTTTTCAGCTCAACTTCTATTTCCTCTTCATTTATCTTTAAATTGTTTAACCCAATCTAGTGTAGGCTAGCCCACTTTGAAGAGTCAAACTGTTCCTCTGCTCTGGACAATAACCTCTACATTAATTTATTAACACCATAATAAACTAATTAAATGCAATAACTAGCATAATCATGCTTCCTTCGTTATAAAAGGAAATACTTAGTATGTTCAAAAAATATATATTTGTGAATAATTCATAATAATATTAATAATAATAAATGTCTTATATAGCGCTACATTATGTCCAATGGTCATTTCTAAGCATCTAATAATGGTCTATTACATCTAATGTCATTACCAGCCCAATGTTTTATATTAAGCTATGGGTTTTTCTATTGACTGATATTTTAAATTTTAATTGAGAAATACTATAATTAGAAACTGCTTCTCATGTTAATTAATGTTGTATGGTATTTCTATTTGCTAATGTTATTTTATTGGTCACAGTGTTACCTAAGGAATAATTACATGTAGTTATAATATTAACAATTGATTGATATTAATGTTTCTAGTGCTGGTCTCTATGTATTTAAAGCGATAATATGTATTTATACTATTGCTGCTATGTATAAAAGACAAATATGATAATGTTGCATGATATACATAAATAAAACAACAGTATAATATGTCAATAAACATACATACTGTAACAATAAGAGTATTTAGAGTGATTTGTTGAGGATCATTTGTAAATGATGCTCTTTACTGTAAAACTCCATGTAAACCTGCTCCATAATCTATCAACCGGCAGGGAATGTTCAAGCAACTCATTATGGCCCCTGAATGTATGAAAAATCGCGATTTTAGCTTGTGGACCCTATAGAGGTAATAATTTTTATCCAATTTAAAAAAAAACGTTTTAGTATATCACCGTTACACCCTAAGGCTGGCTGAGTTCGAATTTTGTGAAAATCGACCCAAAACTGACAGACAAAATGGCCGCCCCACGTTCTCAAAATCAGATAAAAATTGTGACCTCCAGAGGGTCCACAACCTTCGTATTATAAGTACAAAGAGCGGCAATTTTGTCAGGCGATTTCATTTCGATTTTCCCGAAATTCGAATTCAACCTTCATTATGGTGCAATGGTTATGTATTTAAACGGTTTTTAAAATTGGAAAAAGATGTGATTTTTCGAACAATCAGGGGCCATAATCCAGGAGGTTAAGATCGGGTATCCGCGATTATCAAAAGGAACCAAGATCTGAGATCTTTGGGATATAAAGATGTGTTTTAGGTTTCATCAAAATCGGACAAAAATTGTGACCTCTCGAGGGTCCACAACCTTCGTATGGCATACTTTTACACAATTTGCGTACAAAAAGCGGCCATTTTCCCGAAATTCGAATTCAACCTTCATTATGGTGGAATAGTGATATATTTAAACGGTTTTTAAAATCCGAACTCAATCAAAATTACGGTGTAACGGTGATATATTCGAACTTTTTTTTTTTTAAATTGAATAATAATCACAAGCTAAAAACGCGATTTTTCGTACAATCAGGGATCATAATTCAGAAAGTTATGATCCGATATGCGCGAATATTGAAAGACCTTTGGGTTATAAACATGTATTTCAAGTTTCATTGAAATCGGATCAAAATTATGACCTCTAGATGGTCCACAACCTTGATTTACCATAATTTGCGTATGAGGGGCGGCATTTTGTCTGGCAGTTTGGCCTGATTTTCAGGAAATTTGAACACAACAACCATTATGGTGCAACAGTTATATTATTCGAAGTTTTTTTTAAATCGGATAATATCTCTAGACGGAACACAAGCTAAAAACACGATTTTTCGTACAATCATAGGCCATAATTCAGGAAGTTACGATCTGATATGTGCGAATATTGAAAGGAACCAAGATCTTTGGGTTATAAACTTGCATTTCAAGTTTCATCAAAATCGGATCAAAATTGTGGCCTCTAGAGGGTCCACAACTTTGATATACCAGATGTTTACACTATTTGCATACGAGGGGCGGCCATTTTGTCCGGCAGTTTTGGTCCGATTTTCATGGAATTCATACTCAGGCAAAATTATGGTGTAACGGTGATATATTCGAACGTTTTTTTTTTAAAATCGGATAATAATTGTGACCTCTAGAGGGACCACAAGCTAAAAACGCGATTTTTCGTACAATCTCGGGCCATAATTCAGGAAGTTACGATTCGATATTTAAGAAAATCGAAAGGAACCAAGATAATTAGGTTATAAGCATGCATTTCAAGTTTCATCAAAATCAGATGGAAATTGTGACCTCTAGAGGGTCCACAACCCTGATACACTATATTTTGACACTATTTGCGAACGAGGGGCGGCCATTTTGTCTGTCAGTTTTGGTCTGATTTTTACGAAATTCGAACTCAACCAGCCTTAGAGTGTAACAGTGATATATTCAAACATTTTTTTTAAATCAGATAATAATTGTGACCCCAACAGGGTCCACAAGCTAAAAATGTGATTTTCCGTACAATCAGGGGCCATATTTCAGGAAATTATGGTCTGATATGCGCGAATATCGAGAAGAACCCCGATCTGTGGGTTATAAACATACATTTCAACTTTAAAACAGATCGGATAAAAATTGTGACCTCTACAGTATTCACAAGCTAAAAACGTGATTTTTCGTACAATCAGGGGCCATAATTCAGGAGTTTATGGTCCGATATGCATGAATATCGAAAGGAACTGAGATCTTAGGGTGATAAATCTATATTTCAAGTTTGATTGAAATCGAATAAAAATTGTGACCTGTAGAGTGTTCACAAACAAATTGTGGACGGACGGACAGGGGCGACGACAATATACGTCCACATGAAAATGTGGGCGTATAAAAATGGATGCATAAAATCTCCAGAAGATGACTGGCTCAGGTGCTTTTCAGTAAAACCATTTTGGCAATATTTACCTTTAATTGTGGTGTTTCAAGTTGACTTTAATTGTATAATGCAGTATTAACAATACTTTTAAGTATGCTTCTATTATTTTATTTAGTGATTGATCACAAAACATATATATATATATATATATATATATATATATATACACACACACAAAACAATTATATATATATGTAGTCATAACAAAGGTAGAAAATTTAAACTTACTCTAACAAAATAAATATAAAAACAAACACTAGTAAAATTAGTATGTGTATAAAACATGGAACGATAATAAATATATCTTAATAAAATAAAGTACAATATGACAGAAACAATTTCCGGTGCGATCTATTTCAAACGTTTGGTTTTGAGAGATTGTTTTTAGTTGCCATGTTTTACTTTTTGTTTGAAATGGTGAATCTAAAAACTTAACAGGGCTCAAACTGATAACAACTGTTGACATATGTGTTGTTAAAACTAAACTCAACACTTAATGACTTTTTACAACTGTTAACATACGCACTGTCAAAACTAAACTTAACACTGCATTAAAATGACTACCTAAACTGTTGACATATCATTGTCAAAACTAAACTCAACACAGTATTAAAATGACTGCTTACAACTGGAGTCATGAAAGTTGATCACATTCTACTTCCACAACTCTTAATATGCCTAATTTACAAATACTTTATGTTTCGAAATCTAAAATAAGAATATTGCTCACACAAGGCTATTCATTAGTATCCCAATAATCTAATAATCCAGTTGGTTTGTACTTATCACAAGCATGTATTATATATAATCTATGAAAGTTTCTATTGATACAAATGATAAATATAATAAACATATTGTCAAATAAATGATCATTTAAAAAATATACCATTTAAGTACAGTACCATCAAAGCTGTGTATTCATAACTACTGGTAGGTTCATATACAAACCCCAGTGATTTTTCGTACAATCAGGTGCCATAATCCAACAAGTTATGGTCTGATGGGCGAATATCGAAAGTGACTGAGATTTTTGGGATATAAAGATATATTTTAAGTTTCATCAAAATCTGATAAAAATTGTGTCCACAATCTAAAAACGTGATTTTTCTTACAATCAGGTGCCATAATCCATGAAGTTACAATCTGATACATACCAATATCGAAAGGAACTGAGATCTTTGGGAGATAAACCCATATTTCAAGTTTCATCAAAATCAGATAAAAATTGTGACCTGTAGAGTGTTCACAAACAAATTGTGGAAAGACAGACGGACAGGAGTGACCACAATATACGTCCACATAAATATTACCAACAAAATACAAATCATAACGTGGCAGGCTATCTTACACATTAAATGAATATATGTGTGTGTAAAAATCACAGTCTAATTAAAATTATATCAATAATTCGTTCTGTTTACTATACATGTGTATATTTCCCTCTGAACTTGAACTCCAGAACAAAGCACCAATGAAATACCCTATTACAGAAAATTTACATGAAATGTTTTAAAGTGTTGTAAATGACATCTTTTGATTGGAAAAGTAGTACATACAATCTAGATTATTGGCTTGGCTTAAAGTGAAAGGTTCTATTATTAAGCAAATTTCCTGAGCGCCTGAGCTTGTCTCCGTAGATTTGAGCCCCCATAATAAAGTAACATTTAATCTTCATTAGACTGTGAGTAATGGATGACACAGAGTTTGTTTAGTAAGCAAATTCTAATTGTAACATATATCGTAATCTATTCTGACTCTCTTTATATACCAAATATTCACTCTGTGAAAAATTGGAACGTGACGGATTGTTCTGCTTGATAGGTTTACCCTGGGGTATAATAACATCATTACCATCAATTTTAATTATTTTATCTTTAGATGGATCTGTAAAAAAGAATGAAATATATATAAAATATTTAGGTCACTTATAATAAGCATCTGAATAGTTGAGATTTTTATTATTGTCCTTGAAAGTTTCAGACTTATCCTTTCTTTTAACCACATGAAAAACATTGGTCTTCTGGTTAAGCTGCCGTTCTCTGAGTGACATATGATCAGGATAAAATAAAACTATAAGTGTTCACTAGTCACAGGACAGACAAGAGATTATGAAAAATGTTAATGCATGTATTTCCTTATCACTTTAGAGCACAACATATGAAAATTTAAAAACACATTTGTTAACTCAAATCACAGGTTGAACAGATCAATGTCATAACAGATTTGGATCAAAAATAAGTTTCTATTAGGTTAAATACATACTAAAAGTGTACACCCTACTGTATAATTTACCGTTCCATCCACCCAGAATTTGTTATGGTGTATTATAATGATTGCTGATTATAGGCAGAATGTATGAAAGCTATTATCATACCTGGTTCTGTGTCACCTTTAGCAAGAACTGAATCAAAACCTTTAGGAGCAGACTTGAGTGTATGATCATCAGTATAAATTACTTTCTCTTTTCCCAGCGCTACTTCACTCAAAAACATCACACCTGTTTTATTATTACATGATACTGAAATAAATAACAGTGAGAAATAGACAACAGTGAAAAATAAATAACAGTGAAAAATAACAGTACCAGTAATAAAATAAATATTTGACAATAAAAAACAGTAATAAAACAAATGATTGTGGAAAACAAAGAGAAACAGTAAATAAAAAGCATAGTAGGAAATAAATAATTCTGTTTGAAATATTAAAGAATTACGAAAAATCCAGTAATTCAATACAATGATCTTACCATATCCAGCAGATTTACCATTCTCTGAAGCAAAGTAGATGCCCTTTCCTACCCTACCTCCACTGTGGGGCATAATACGTAAACCAGTTTTTAATATGGCAGCTACGACAGCAATATTAGTTCCATGCCAAAGTAACTTTCTATTTTTAATATCTTTATGAGCCTTAAATCTCGCATCCTGTTTAAAAGATAATTTTTAAATAAATCTATATGTGTGAAGACACACAGCAACCACTAGCTTAAGTAATACCATACACTCCATTTGTAGACTTGTAATTTATATACATGACACAGTTCTATGTATTTCCAGTTCAATCATTAAGTGCAGTTGAATCAATTTGTAATTTATAGTAGTATTAATGTAATAAAGCATATTTTGGTACAAATATACATCTTTAGTAATAGTTGTTCAACTTGTACAAAGAATTCAGTTAAAATAAACAAAGAAAATATTCCTTACATCTCCGTCACGACTTAGTTTCCAGACATGCTGCAATTTAATCTTGCGATAACCCTGAGTTTGATCAGTGTATGTTTCAATCAACTGTCAACGAAAAAAAGACAAACAATAAAGTTATGCTCCCTAAAATTTGGTTTTCAGATATACTGTTATTTACTTGCAGGAATCATCAAATTCCAAGTGAAATATTTTTTTAAAACGACTCACTGAATATCCACGAGGCTGGACAGGCAACCCTACTCCTTGTCACGTACAACTGGGGATTCGAAAACCACGCCAGTTTACTCAATGACAGGGGGAGCCATGGTGGCTAGGTGGTTAAGACGCTGGCTCGCTAGCCTGGAGGTCGGGTGTTCGATCCCTGCATTGGCCGAGAAAGTTCATCTGGATTTTCAGACGTGGTTTCCCCTTGTCAGTGGTGCAGAACGGAGGGCCTGACAAGGACAGCTGTCTAGTCCTTCGGATGAGACAAAAAACTAATGTCCCGTGTATACATTGGAATGCACGTAAAAGATTTCTTGGCAGTTGGAATTCAATAGGCGATAGTGCCGCTGCCCGGGCAAAATTTCCCTCATAGCACACTGTATGGCGCATGCCCGTCTTCATTAGACCAGTATAGGAGCAGAACAGTAGCACGTTAAACCCCATTTCATTTCATTTCATTTCATTTCTCCATGACAGGCTTTATGATACGTCAGCGTGCACGTGCTAACCATTCGGCCATCCAATCCCCAATTGGCTTAGCAGACTTATTGGTTACTGCAAAGCCTAAATCATATGACTGTTTATGAAGTCTTTATAAACAGTCTAGCTAACATTTGAATATAAAATAAAAGTAGAAAAATATTGATACAGCAAAAAAGTATTGATACAGTGTATCACAGTTGATCGTATTGCAATATATCGATATTTTTTGACAGCCCAAAACAAATGTATTATGAACATATAAATTAATGTTTTTGCAGTCATTCTTTCATTTGAAGATATAGCCAATAGTGTTAACTGGTCCCTTAAAGCGGTAAAAATAAGTTAAATCAAAGATGGCCGACATTTGCCAATTCACCCGAAAAAGTGTTAGTAAACCTAAGATTCATAATTGCTAAAAATTAACTAGTTGTACAATATGATACAAAAAAAAAAACTCCATTAACATTATAGAACAATACTATCTCATATTTTAAACTGTTGGCTTTACTATATGCCATACAAATTAAGTCATAATTGGAATGCGAATTGGCATGTAAACTTCCAAGAATTATTACACAGTGGGGTTCCCATACAGTAAAATAGAAATGAAAAAGCCACATCCTTATTTCAAATAGCCTGTGCAGCATAATTCAGCATAATGTATTTAACTTTGGTGTTACCTAAGTGCAGATTTAAGCGGGGGGTGGGGTGGAGAACAAGTAAACGCCCTCCTGAGACAAAGTCCCCTCAGACCCAGTCCAAAAAAATTAAAAGCTCAGTATTATATGTCGCTATCTGATTTTTTGTTAATGCCTGCAACGCTTAATTCCACAATGTCATCATTCCTCTAATTAGGCTATGATATTTGTAATAAATAGTCAGTGATAAAGGCAACATCGTCTTTTGTATGTAATGACGACTTCGCACCCGTTGTGTCACGTGACACAAACATAACCTCTTTTAATCGATTTTTTATAGCCGGGTATTCCCCGACAATTGCAATGTTTTGAGAAGGATTTGAAGCAAAATTATGATAAATTAATTAGTTTGAATATGTTTTTAGTCCAAATATATCATCAAACCACCCAGTTTGTACCCGGGAATGTATCTTTAATGGAAAATAGCTTAAAAACCTGAACTTTACCCTCAAAATTTGGGACTTTCCAGCACTCCAATTTTGGTAAACTTTTAAAATGTCATTCAGTACACTCAACACTACCCAAAATCAAGTTTACACTAAAAATAGTCATACTCAATAAATATTCTTGGATAAGGGCTACATGTAAACAAATATGCAAAAATTGGCCGACAGGCAAAACTTTCAAGTGAGAATTTTGTAACAAACCACTGTTTTCTTCATGCAATTATTCTTTACTTAATTTTCATGGTATATAAATTTAATTAACTTTACCTTGAAATCATTAGATTTGGGATCGACTAATTCTAGCTCACATTTCAGCATATCATAATTAACATCAATTGGGTTAGGCACCTCTCCCTTTACAGCCTGAAAAGAAAAATTATGAATTTATATATACAGTAAAATGGATATGAACAGATACACAATATTTTTTTTTTTTTTTTTTTTTGGGGGGGGGGGGAGGGTGTAACTTAAATTTAAAGCCATTTGATTATAAAGTTCAATGATTTTGTATCCTGGACCAATAAGGCTGCAAAACAAAGGAAAAACATTTTGTTTTCTGACATATATTTTTTTTACCAATCAATGACATGGGACACAAATAAAACAGTTAGTACAATACTTATTTCTCTATTCCTCTGGGATTTGTGAAAAAATAATGCAAATGAAATTTGGATCAATCTAGATGTCCACATGTGTATTTTTAGTGTCATAAATGCTTCTAGCATTCCTATATTATATTTCTATGCAAATACCTATACTAATTCTTCTGGTTATTTATGTATTTGGGTCATTCCATGTCAAGTGGACCAAATTTCGGAAAGTTGGGAACATGACCCCCTCCAAAAAATTTATAAAAAATATATGTTTTAGAACATGGACTTAAGCTAACAAATCCAAAATTATTCTTCTCTAGTTCAAAAAAATGCTGAGATATGGCCATTTGAAATAGGGAACTGTAACGGATCATAAATTCAGTAATTTTTTTCAGGTTTTCAGGTTAACAGAACACAGTTTTTATGGGATACAATCACTAGTTTATTCTAAAAGCACGACGTTTCGACAAGTATCCTCTACAAGCTTGATAACGATAAGAGGATACTTGTCGAAACGTCGTGCTTTTAGAATAAACTAGTGATTGTATCCCATAAAAACTGTGTTCTGTTAATTTGTTCCCTGATCGCTAAATGCCACTTAAAGAATAGGTTTTCAGGTGCTTTAAACACACATTTCTAATAGGAGTAGAACTCTTGAACTTTGTAATCTAAGACAGCATTTGGTGTAGATTATGTATTTAGCATCCCACTTATTGTTCAATGCATACTGTTCATGCAAAATGTGGCAAAATGTGGAACAAATGAACTATCCACATTTTTTCCAGTATTTCCACAACCACTGGCAAAGTCACAATTGCATACACAACCTCCAAAATTGGCATAGTTAATGTCAGTTTGTCTTATATCAATTTACAAAAGACTCCGAGTCGATGGGATATATACTTTTCCAAATATTCAGTCTCGAAATTCAGTACCCATTTTCACCTTCATTTTTGGCCATGTGGGACAGAGGTTAAAATTCTGAAAAAGTTTGCGTGGCAAAGATGTGTCGATCTCCGGTCCTATGCTTCGTGAAAAAGCTTTGCTATTCACCAAAGAACTAAAAATTTTCCCGTTAATAAATCTACATGTAAACTAGATTAAAATTACCATCTTTCTTGTTTGTAAATATATATATATATATATATTAGTTGTCATACTGTTATTTATGTACATGTTTATATTGTATGCTATCCTCAATGGGTGTTACGATACAATAAAATTTTTATCTTATCTTATCTAAGAGAGGTTTATTTCTCACCAGATTCATGCCAATAAATTTAATGTTTTTTGTATATTATCTATTAAACACTCATATCATCACATCTCTTAGATAAAAACAATGTCCAGATAGCACCACCAAAGATGATCATGGCATAGGGCAAGACGTCTTTGTGTTTGGATTAGGTCAGAACAATCTTTGCTTATCACAATCATTTGATTCTGAAATATTTTGGGCTACATTTGTTGGCCACTATTTGAACACAATCAAATTTTTGGAAATCTGAAGGCTGGACTTTGCATGATATTTTTAGTATATATATGTATTTCTTCTCAATGCATCATGTAGAGCGAGTATTCAAATTAATACATGGAATATAATATAAAGGAAAGCAATACAGTGGCATATTTAATAAGCTACTATAAAAGAACAACTTACTTCTGTCATCATCTTATCCTTTTCTTTTGTCATTTCTTGAGCTAATTCAATATCAGCTAACACCTGTAACATAAAAGATAATATCAAATTAATTTCCATATTTACATTTACTTAAGGCAATTATATTAATCAGTATTATGGTATTGGATATTTAACACTGCTGTACTACAGGATATATTAGAGTATAATTAGAAGACTTATTATGGGACTTATTATTTCATTAACAATACTCTTCATACAAACTGATTTGTACATTGCTTTTTCAGGTATACCAGTATGTAATTAATTTGAAATATTTGATTTGACTGGAAGACATTTCCATTCACAGTAGGATTTGGAAGGGAAATAAAGGTCCAAATAAAGAGCTATATTTGACATATTATTTTAGAGATTGTTTAAATAAATACTTCACAGCAGTAAACCCAAGGAATTCTAAACCATCATTTTACATTCACTGTTAGGTTCTTAGGGACCAAGATCTTTTGGATATAAACATATATTATAAGTTTCATAAAGATCAGATAAAAACTGTGACTTCTAGAGGATATACAACCATGGTATTACATACTTTTATACTATTTGCGTACACATAGCAGTCATTTTGTCAAACAGTTTTAGTCCGATTTTCACTAGATTTGAACTCAACCATCATTAGTGTGTAATGGTGATATATTTAAACTGTTTTTTTTAAATCAGATAAAAATTGTGACCTGTACAAGTACGACAAGCAAAACCAGCAGCTGCCAGGCAGGATACGCCAATATTTTGCAAGAGATGGATAGAGAACAAGCTAAAAGCAAACATGATTTTTTGTACAATCAGGGGCAATAATCCAGAGAGAGAGAGAGAGAAATGGGGTTTAACGTCCACTCGACACAAACTAGGTCATTTCGGGACTAACATATGGTTTAATTTTATTTTATAATTCGCTTTGCACGTAGGGGTCTTTAGCAGTGGGAGGAAACCGGAGGACCCGGAGAAAACCCACGAGGTTGGACAGGCAACCCTTCTCCTTGTCACGTACAACCGGGGATTCAAAACCACGCCAGTTGACTCAATGACAGGCCTTATGATACAGCGCGTGCACGTGCTAACCATTCGGCCATCCAACCCCCCCAATAATCCAGAAAGTTATGGTCTGAAAATGCGCAAATATCAAAAGGGACTGAGATCTTCGGGATATAAAGGTATGTTTTAAGTTTCATCAGAATGGGATAAAAATTGTGACCTCTATCGGGACCACAACCTTCGTAATGCATACTTTTACACAATTCGGGTACAAAGAGCGGCCATTTTGCCAGACAGTTTCATTTCGATTTTCCCGAAATTCAAATTTAACCTTCATTATGTTGGAATGGTGGAATATTTAAATGGTTTTTAAAATCGGAAAAAAAAATTGTGACCTCTAGAGAATCCGCAAGCTAAAAATGCGATTTTTCGAACAATCAGGAGCCATAATTCAGGAAGTTACGTTCGGATATATGCCATTATCAAAAGGAACCAAGATCTTAGTGTGTAATGGTGATATATTCACATGTTTTTTTAAATCGGATAAAAATTGTGACCTCTACATGGACAGCACGCTAAAAACATGATTTTTTGTACATTCAAGGGCCATAATTCAGGAAGTTATGATCCGTTACGTGCGAATATTGAAAGGAAAACCAAGATCTTTGGGTTATAAAGATGTATTTCAACTCTCATCAAAATCGGACCAAAATTGTGACCTCTAGAGGGTCTTCAAGCTTGATATACCAGATACTATACTATTTTGTCGACAGTTTTGTCCCGATTTTCACAAAATTCGAACTCAATGAACATTATGGTGTAAGAGTGATATATTCAAACGTTTTTTTTTTTAAATCGATGATAAGGAACCAAGATCCTTGGGTTATAAATTTTTCATTTCAAGTTTCCTCAAAATCAGAAGAAAATTGTGACCTCTAGAGGGTCCACAACATTGATATACCATATTTTTACGCTATCTGATTACGAGGGGCGGCAATTTTGTCTGTCAGTTTTGGTCCAATTTTTACGAAATTCGAACTAAACCATCCTTAGGGTGTATTGGTGATATATTCAAACGTTTTTTTTTTTTAAATTGGATAAAAATTATGACTGCTATAGGGTCTACAAGCTAAAAACATGATTTTTCGTACAATCAGGGGCCATAATTCAGGAAGTTACCGTCCGATATGCGCGAATATCGAAAGGAACCAAGATCTGTGTGTTATAAACTTACATTTTCAAGTTTCATCAAATTCAGAAGAAAACTGTGACCGCTAGAGGGTCCACAAGCTAAAAACGTGATTTTTTGTACAATCAGGGGCCATAATCCATGAAGTTAGGGTCTGATTCATGCCAATATCGAAAGGAATCGAGATCTTAGGGAGATAAACCTATATTTCAAATTTCGTTAAAATCGGATAAAAATTGTGACCTGTAGAGTGTCCACAAACAAAATGTGAATGGACAGACGACGACAATTGGGTGGCGACAATAAACGTCCACATTAAAATGTGGGCGTATAAAAATGTCGCATCTATCATGTTCACAAGGGTTTTGACAAAGGGGGTAACTCTGGAACAAAAGTCACAGAACACAGAATAATGATAGGGTTGTCCTCTCATGACAAAAATATGCTTCACCTAAGATTTGAAATAGATTCATTAAAGACTGAAACCTCTATCATGTTCGCAAGGTTTTTGGTAAAAGGTGTGTAAATCTGAAATGCTGACTATCGATAGGGTTTCGTCCTACTAAGTATCTGTTAAAAACAATCAATAGCGTCTAGTTCATTCCCAAAGGGAGATTACTCTGGTATAGAAGGTTGCAGAACGCTGAATTATCGATAGGGTTCGTTCTCTCAAGACCACAATGCTTCGCACCAAATTTGATTAAGATCAGTCAAAAAACTGTAGTCTCTATCATATTCACAAGACAATTGTTGACTGATGGACAAACAGGGTGACGACTATACATGCCCAAACTATGTGTGGGTACATAAAAACCTTACGATTGTAAAAGTATCACATTCTATAAATTCCTTAGAATATAGATTAATTACATACCATCAACATATCCATTTTCTGTCTGACTAATTCCAATGTGTCTATCTTTGGTGGAATACGACGTCCAAAGCTATGGGGAATAGCTGTGTAGAATCGGGAAGATAACTCTGTTAGATTACCTTTTTTTTTCTTGTTTAAAATATCTTCTATCTCATCTAATATCTCAAAACCTTTAGCTATCTGTGATTTACTGAGTTTACCCAATGGCATTTTATTAACATCTGTAATATCAATTCAGTGATAAAATACACACATTGTGCTTCAGATTTCTGATTTTCATTTCATTTTCTCTGACAATCGATAGGAATCTCCTCAGTTAGTAGCAATTTGTGGTAACACTGCTGTCTAAATGAAACACAGTGACAGCAATATAATGCTATGCTCTTCATTTTAAATATCAGATGATTCTCTCATCCCGCCAAATTATAGCCTTAATAATGAAACTGGGCCTATACAGCAGAGGTCACAGAGCCTGCCTAGCAAACTTGGGTGTCTGCTGCCCTAATATATTACTCCCTATGAAAATAATTAATATTGATAATATCAATGTTAAACAAAATGTAAAACATGTCTAAAATCAGAAAAGCATTATTTATGGATTAAATAAATCATATGGCTAACAATTTCAAATGCTTGACCTCTCTGTTAGCTTTACATGTGGATGTAAAACTTTGAAAGAAACCTGTTTGTCATCTCACCAATCAAATAAACACATAAACTCCAATTAATTCTGACCCAGAACAGGTGATAGGACTTCAAGGGCGGATCTAGTGGAAGGCACACCCAGTGCACCCCCCCCCTCCAAACTTTATATAAATCCAGACGTCGGGTGTTTGAGTAAAGTAATTTTCACCATTGCCTCTCTCTACCTCAACCATTTACCAAGATATCTGACTTAGAATGTCCCATTGTAATTCATTATTATAGAATGGGATTCTTTTCTCATATCACTGGAAATAGCATTTCCGGGCTTCTAGTTGTCAACAATTTCTGTAGGGAGGGGAGCGGGGAGCTGCCGTCTTTGCCCCTACCCCACTAGGGTTTCTGGATTTCCCCTTGTGTCTTGGTCTTACCAATATCAAACTTCTTCATGGAATCTTTAAACATATCCAAGTCAAATATTAAAGACATAAATTTTTGTGTTGTTTTATCTAATTTTGATTCTGCAATTGTCTTCCCTGACAAATCAACCTTTACAGGAGCCTAAAAAAAAGTTAAATATAGAAACTGTTAAATATGGAATAGTTTGCATCTTTTACAGAACGGACAGAACTAGAGTCTAGTGGTAAGGAAGGAGGCATGCAGTATTGTTCAATGCATAGTACAACTCCCTTTTTATTTGCCCAAATAAACTTGATAGTCACTAGAGAAAAATGGTGTTTTTCAGTCTTAATCACAAATGGGCATTATTGGAAATCAGCGATAGTATAACATATTGATTGGTCAGGTTACAATTTAGATATGCAAATCTTTGACAGTATTTTGTTCAAAATATGAACTGAAATGAAAACATTATCATGACTCGGATCTAAAATATTCAGTCTGTATCCGATCAAAAATCCTATCAGCTTGAATTGCAATCCGTTTTGATTTGTTTATAATTGATCACTTTTATTATATCTCATAACCTGAACAAGTGTTCACATGGAATTTTATGTCTGGAGCACGTCTGTTCAATATTGATAACACAAATTAATCTTAACATAAATGTAAACCACTGACATAAAATTTGAACATGGTAAGGCACCGACATCGCAAAATACTATCAAACTTAATGAAATTGATACATTCATTCAAATCAAAGAGGTCCTGTCAATTCAAATATAGAATGACAAAGTTATAGATATATAGCAAACTGTAACCATTACATCGACTTCATCCTCATCATCATCTCCTGCCATCTCTATTAAAGTATATTTTCCTGGTTTAGCTTTAAAATCCTCACGATCAGCCCATTTATTTTTAGTTTTATCTTGAAATTTCTTCTCAAACATTTTAATACATTCTTCTTTTGTTCCATGAGTGAGTTTGGAGTCACCACTTTCTCCCTAAAAATAATATGTAAAGACTCTATAAAACAATATTTCATTCATTTTTTAAACTTTCCTATTTCTGAAAGGTTAAAGATGAATTATGTAAGAGCTAAATCTGCCTATTGCAGGTCTTTATTTTGGTTTCAAATGGAGAAAATGTTTCAATCCATTTAAATCTTGGGCATGTTACTATTTTATTTGATTTTATTTATGATGTGTTGGCTGTTTATTGTTTACAATATCTTGTGTGTTCTTTCTTTTAAATTTTGTTTATGTGTGGTTTGGTCCTCATGCATTTAATATTAGTAACATGGCTTAGTAAACTTGGTTCTGTTGCCAATGGACATGGTCCAAAAATTGAGTTCAACTTGAACAAAGACAGTGCAAAAATGGTTGAATTCCGTTCAGTATTCACAAAGTTATGATAACATGACCCCATCTTTTATGGGTGGCAGAAACACCTGATAGAATCCAAGTCAGGAGATTAACTAGCATTGGTATTTTGATTTTATTTTCTTAATTAAAGATGCATTATGTAAAGAGCTAAATCTTTCTATTGCAGACCTTTCTGTTGGCCTCAAAAGATATCAATTAGACATTAATTCACTTGAAAAGCCAATAATCAACTCTCTAGGATGGTTATGATTTTGAATGGATTGAAACATGATTGCCATTTAATAATAATTTAAAGATGGGTTGCCAGGCAACGAAAAATACGCTCACAGCAGCTAAATCGTCCGGGCAGCAGTCAACAAGAGTTTACTTTTTTCGGTAATGAAACATTTATAATACACTAAAATCTGATTAAGAGTAACAACTTATTAAGTAATTATCAGAAAATCATTAGAATTTGTTTGACTTTTATAAAGTTCTGCCCATTGCTAATGTTTAGTATACAAAACATTTAAGATCATGGATTTCGCTGTTCAACTTATAAAAAATCATTGAAAATCAATATGTACTTGTTCGTCTCAAGACCTTAAACTCTGTGTATGAATCTAAAGTCAATCGGATGATAACTTTAGCCTCTAGAGCGTCAAAAGATTTTTCAAAGTGATAAAGTGATCAAGTAATTATCGGAAATCGTTGAAAATCAATAGGCATCTTTGTCTCATGACCTCAAACACTGCGTACAGATTTAAAGTCAATCGGATATTCACTTTAGCCTCTAGAGCATTCACAAGATTTTTTGATGTGATCAAGGGCCATAACTCTGTCAGTAATTACCAGAAATTGCAGAAAATCAATAGGCTTTTAGTTCTACGTCTCATGACCTTAAACACTGTGTATAAATTTAAAGTCAATCGGATATTAATTTTAGCCTCTAGAGCATCCACAAGATTTTTCAAAGTGACCAAGGGCCATAAATCTGGCAGTAATTATCGGAAATTGCTGAAAATCAATAGGCTTCTTGGTCCCATGACCATAAACACTGTGTATTAATTTAAAGTCAATCGGATATTAACTTTAGCATCTAAAGCGTCCACAAGCAATTGTGGACGCCGGACAGAAGGACGGATGCGACGACAATATACGACCACATTTCAATGTGGTCGTATAAAAATGGATAATCAATACTTTGTTTATAATCGAAACAATGGTAGCAATGAAAGTTGAGACTATGCTACTCTTAACTTTGCTCAGAATGAAGTAATTTTACTGAAATATTCAATATATTCCTTTTTCATTATCTATTTTTAAACTATTATAGCAAGAACGACCAGCTCTTTATCTAAAGTGTACATAATGTATCCATAAATATTAAACAATCAAGGATACATCAAGTCTTTTAGATGTAAAGTACATGTATAGACAATCACATATTTAGAAATTAATGATGGTAGTGAACATTTATAAAATATATCACCAGCTCTGGATAAAATAAGACACACTGTCACAAACACTATATATTATATAGTATCTACTTCAATCTGGTTAAAACACAGATCCTATTTCGGTTTGTTTTTATAGTTCAAAATTTCGTTTTACTTGTCTTTACTACACTAGGATCTGGAAGAGTTGTTATTTAACTCGTGTTCTGAATGGTGTCGGAGATAAGCCAATGAAACGGTCTGTTACGGCGAGCTTTAGGTGTGTTTTGCACTGAACTGTGGGTAATCCACTAGTAACATCAATGCTGATTGGTTAATCATATGTCTGACGTCATAAGGTCAAAAGTCGTTGTTTTGACTTCTGGCGTGACCTATCGCTATAACTTGTCAGATCTTCATGTAGTGTAGTCCATCGAAAGTATAAAAAAAACAAAACGAAATATAGATCTGTATTTTAATCAGATTGTATCTACTTGCAATTGTCTTTAAATATGACTTACCACACGTCCCCATCTATTCCATGCATAAAAGATACCAGTGCCATGTTCTAAAACTTGAATGATGTAGAATTTATTGTTATTATGACCGATATTTGTTTGATTTAACATACAATCATAATCTTCAAAAACACTTGCCTAAAAAAAAGTTAAAATTTATGTTAAAAATTGACATGATACCCAAATTACAATAAAGAGTAATTCTCAGGTTATTTCAAATTAAAAAGGATTCTTGTTCCCAATTAGTTAACCAAGGTAAATATATAATGGTGTTTAAATGAAATGGGATTTAATGTCCTACTGTTCTGCTCCAAACTGGGCTAATGAAGGTGGTATAATGGTGTTTGTAATTCTACAAATCTAATCTCATAAACAAATTTGACTACTTTGTTGAAAAGTATCTTTGCCAATATTTCTATGCCACTGACACACATCAGAAACTATGTATTATATATGTAGCAGAAGATGATGTTCACGGGATCTATTATTCAATCAATATTGCAGTCTACAAGTACTGACTTTTGATGTTTAGAAGAACCAGGCCCTACATATCAATAGTTCAATGGCTACCTCATTTTCACCTTCCTCTCAGTCTGGTACCCTTGGTAATAAATGGTAGGCTATGTTACCTCTGATAGAATTTTTTTTTTTTATATTAGAGTCTTAGCCCAACTCTATTTCATTGACATCTGACTGAAAGCTCAACAGGAAATTGTTCTGAAACAGTATGTGTGATAAAAATCTTACCCCACTCAAGGTACATCCTTTATCAGGTGCAAAAGTTTTTTTCTTTCCCTTGTCAGCAATTTTTAATTTATTAATTGTATCTTTCATTGTTGGAGCAGCAACTTCTTCTTCTTTCACTACTAACTTCTTAGCTTTTTTACCCCCTGCTGTTTTCTTGGCAGCTGCAGCTTTTCGTTTTGGTGGCATTTTGTTCAAATGTTCAAGATCTGCCAGCAAAAATATATTTCATCAATTCTAAACATGGATATTTCATTATTGTCCCGCCGTTCGAAGAAAACAGGGGACTATTAAAATGGGTTCGTCCGTCTGTCTGTCCATCCGTCACACTTTCTGGGACACAAACAATAACTCTCCTTCTAATTGAACTAGAAAGTTCAAACTTGGTGTAGGTGTTTATTAGGTCAATGCCTTGATGGAGTTCAAAGATGTGCATTTTCTGCTTAATTAAGTGAGAGTGATGACACATGATGTATAGTTTTATCACATCAATACCTTGAATAAGTTTGATAATGAACATTTCCTGCTGAGGGTAAGCCGAGTGATAAGCAATTTGATTGGTCGCGACTTTGGAACACAATAACTATCCTTCTAATTGATGGAGTGCGAAGATGAGAATCTTCTGCTTAGGCTAAGCAGAAATAAGCAATTTGATTGGTTGATGTTTTGGGACACGATAATTTGAGTTCTAATTAAGTGAGAGTGATAAAACTTGGCGTATAGTTTTATCACGTCAATACCTTGACTAAGTTCGATAATGAACATTTTCTGTTGAGGGTAAGCAGAGCGATAAGCAATTTGATTGGTCAAGACTTTGGAACACAATAACTCTCCTAATTGTGACAGAATGTTCAAACTTGGTGTAGGCATTCATTAGGTGAATGCCTTGATGGAGTTCGATGATAATTGTCTGCATACAGTCAGCAGAGATAAGCAATCTGACTGGTTGATGATTTGGGGCACGATAACTTTGGTTATAATTAAGTGAGTGAGAGTGATGAAACTCTGAGTAAGATTCATTATATCATTACCTTGACTAAGTTCGATGATGAGAATTTTCTGCTCAGACTAAGGAGTGATAAGAAATTTGATTGGTCAAGACTTCGGAACATAACAACTCTGCTTTTTAAATCTTCCTATTGCAAAAGCGAAAAATTTGACCTTTTAATCTCTGGGGTCACAAAGAACAAAGGTGAATTTAGTAAGTTTACGTTTTTATTGAAAGAGTCTCAAAACACCCCAATGGCGGACTGATTACCACTCGGCATCAGGTTGTATGCAAAATTTTACTCTAGAAAATTTGGGTCTGGTTTTATTATTTTCAATTTCGTAGCCAACTGTGATGCCTTTTTTTCTATCAAGAACAGGGCAGCATGAATTAAAGGATGTGATGAATAACACTCATTTTCCCTTGTCACAGAGCTTAAAGGGACCATCCCGATTTGAACAGTCTCAGAAATAAAAGTCAGTGTACGTATGAAATTGAAGTGCCAAAATATAGAGGACTGGTGTATTTACCATGTCTCAAAATTTCAGCTGAAAATACTGAACAAAATTTGAGCAAGAATACTAAATACAAAATATGTACATAAACATTACAGCTTCAAAAGCATTATCCGGACACATAACCCTTTTAAAATTTTGGGTCAATTTTTTTGTTGGGTGACCTGATAATCTATTGCCGTTCCTTTAGAGGTCTCTACAGTGCATGACCCACATGCTGTACTTGATAACAAAAAGTAAATTTCACCGGACACGTTATTTTTATAAAATAAGTTTAGTTTATCCAAACACCATGTAATACAGCTTGGGACACGAGGCTCCATTTCCAAATGAAGACTGACGGGTTTAAGTTGTTTAAAACATATCATGTATACTGAGTTAGTTGCTTGGCCCTCAGGTAAAAGATTTTAAGGAAATGAAATGGGGTTTAACGACCTACTCTTATACTGGGCTAATGAAGATGGGCATACGCCATACAGTGAGCTATGAGGGAAATTTTGCCCGAGCAGCTTCACTATGGCCTTATATCAAATTCCAACTGCCAAGTGATCTTTTACATGCACGCCAAATGACTGTATTTGGCAGGCCCTTTGTCCTGCATCACTGACATGGGGAAACCATGTCGGTAAATCCTGATGAACTTTCTCAGCCAAAAACTTTTAACACAAAATTAAGCCCTTTTCTAATTTAATTTTAATTCTAGTTTTCCTAATTGTTAGTACATGTATATTGTGTTTGCAGCAGAGACTGTGAGAGAGTTAGCTGAGCTATTTATATAACCATCTCTGATTTAGGTCGACTATTGAACACATTATCAGCTAATTACTATATTTGACAGAGAAATTGATTGTGCCTTATTGCAATGTTAAAATTAAATGTCTTTTTTTTTCATTTCATCCAAGCTTCTTGGAGTCATTGTTAAATGTATGTAAAATCATTGCATTGATAATGAATAAACAAGTAGCCTACCATCCTACCAATATTTACCAACATTTTATCCTTTTGGGTTTAAGGATGTCCACCAATAACGTAGTTCAGCTCTGAACGTAGGTCTCATTATATATACACTCGCCCTGTACATTCAGGAACTGCCCTTTTGAATCCTTAGTCAATTTTACAAGGTAACTTTTTACTACTAAACGGTCATGTGTCAGTCTTTGTGAACAATGTAAAGGAACATTTTAGTGAGAAAATAAGACCCTTGCTTACCTCGCTTGAGTCCAGCATGTACGACAGAACATGCTGTTAAAAATACTTCCCCTTCTGCTAAACGGCTTGGCAGAAGCCACTGAAATCTAACCATAGGGTAACGCACAAATTTACGTAACTTGGCTATGAATATATGACGAAAAGAAATTTAGGTAAGCAGGGGAGAAAAAATTGGAGTCTTTGAAAATATCTGATTTTAATTGGGTTAGGAAAAGTAATAAATGACTGAAGATTCTCAACTTTTCAAAGATTCCAATTTTTGGAGCTGACACTTTTTCGACAAGGATTCAAGGGCGGTTCTTGAACGTACAGGGCGAGTTAACATAATGAGACCTACGTTCAGAGCTGAACTACCGGTAATGGTGATAACAGGCCCTATAGTGATTGACATCCATTTTTACTATGAAACGAATGCCCAGGGTTTAATGTCCTACTCCGACTAAGCTAAACGAGACGAGCATAGTGTGCTATGAGTATGAGAGAAATTTTGCCTGGACAGCGGTGCTACGGCCTACTCTATCGAATTCCAACTGTCAGAGGATATTTTCTGTGCACGCCAATCCTATTGGGCTTCACTTTTCTATCCCATCCAAACGACTGTATTATCCGTTTCCCCTTCCCGGGCCCTCGATCTGTCCTGCAACACTGACAAGTGTTGAAGGGGGAACTGAAATGAAATGAAATGGGGTTTACAACTTACGTCCTATCGTTTAAACCCCATTTCATTTCATTTCCCCCTTCAACTAGTTCAACCCTTGTGGACCACGGTGGAAATTCAGATGAACTTTCTCCGTCAATGATGAGATCATTGTTCAATTGTTGTTGAAGATTTTGTCTTACCCCTAACCCTGAATTTATAGGTTTTAATCTTAAATACCTGACCCTAATCCTAAAATGTAAAAGTGATGGAAATAGAATTAGAGCGGGAGCCCATGGGGGTTAACCTAGCTGAAAAGTGTACCAATTTTCTCCTATATGGTCTCAATGCATGTATTTCTGGTATCATCAGAATGTAAGTCTGCCGGGTTTCTGGTGGTGGATGTGGTATTCCACGCCCAAAATGCCATGCCCCCCAACTAGGCTAGATTAGCTCAAAAGATCACATGAAAATCTTACAGCAGTGTACCGTACATCTTCAGGTGTTACATAAACACTCTAACAGACATTTCTAGTGGTGGGTTACCCCTGACAGAGCTATGTAATTGTCAGACATTTGTAGTGGTAGAGTATCCGTGACAAGAGTTTTCTAATTTTCAGACCACAGCTAGGCTAGATTAGCTGAAATCTGTACCACCTAAAACAGCTTTGGAGTTGTTCAGTACCACTACAGGAATCATGAATGACCACTGCCAGGCAGTTTGTGCGGTGGGTTACCCCTAACAGACACGCCCAAAATGCCCCCCCCCACTATGATGAACTAATCTAAAATCATAACGGCAATTAACTAACAATACGAATAAACAATACGAATATACAGCGGTGAACTAATCTCGGTCGTGATCGGTAATCAACAAAAATCGATGAGTAAAACTTATTCATTCCATATTATTGTTTATTTAACAATAAGTAAGTGTTTAACAGTTTATTTAACGATAAGTACAACTCAGTTAATTGACTGCTATTATAATAACAAGGGGGATGAAACAGCCCGATAAAAAATTAGGTTGGGATGAAACAGCCCAGGGTGAAACGGTTGTGGGATGAACTGACCCGCATCCTGGTCTTCCACGCCCAAAATGCGTGTGAACTAATCTCGGTCGTGATCGGTAATCAACAAAAATCGACGAGTAAAACTTATTCATTCCATACATTATTGTTTATTTAACAATAAGTAAGTAAGTGTTTAACAGTTTATTTAACGATAAGTACAACTCAGTTAATTGACTGCTACTAATAACAAGGGGGATGAAACAGCCCGATAAAAAATTAGGTTGGGATGAAACAGCCCAGGGTGAAACGGTTGTGGGATGAACTGACCCGCATCCTGGTATTCCACGCCCAAAATGCCATGCACCCCAACCGTTAGTGGGATAAAACCACCTGCTCCCGAATACCACACCCACCACCGGAAACCCGGCAGATTTACATTCTGATGATACCAGATATACATGCATTGATAACATATAGGTAAAAATTGGTACACTTTTCAACTAGGTTGGCCCCCTGGGCTCCCGGTCTAAATAGGGAGTCGGATCAAACATGAATGCCAATCGAACAACCGACCTCCAGGTTAGCGAGGCAATTTTTTAATTTTTACTATGATGAGTATGAAGTTTGTACTTTGTACTGTACCGGTATAGCTTATCAAATGAAATTGAAATTCGAATAATAAAAACGCACTTATGTCATATTTTTTAAATACGGTACATACCTGTATAAAGCCAATTAAACACAAAGCAGAATGTGTAAGCAACCTGACGATAAAGCAGAAATGGAAAATACCACAATATATCTGGACGTGTCAGCGCTTCGTACCTTCATATATAAATAGAAACTGTGGCGTAGTCTAATTAGTCCAGTAACATATCTTCCTAGTCAATTTCTACTATTATTGAGACTGGATAACAGGCAACTGAGGAAAATCTATGACGTATATTTTTATTTGCCGCTCGTCCAATGAAATTAATGAAATTTAACAAGTTACAACACTGATGAGAAACACTTATTGCGAAATTTCTGTTGACGAAAAGAAATCTGTTTTAACCTGCTGTTCTCTCAGCAGGCTCTAAATTGCCTACTGTGGACTGTGCCGGTGTGATAGTTTGAGTTGACTCCTGGTGTGTGATTTCTCCTGGGCACTTGCGCATGTCCGAAACTGATGTTTGCCTTAACAACGAAACTATATCTACTTCCTGCGGTGTGAGTTGGTTCCTGATCACTGGTCAGTACAGGAAAAAGTATCATGTATACTTGATTAGAGTTTTGTCATTAATAAAAATACTTGTTATCGTGACGCGTAGAAAAGCGGCCATGGGTTGTGGAATACGTGAGCTGTTGATGCGGTTTTTCTTGTTTCGGTCCTTATACCTCTTACTAAGTTACTTGAACTTGGTGTTCCAACTCGCGACTTCGCAGTCCATCTAGCAGGATTTCTACCGTTCGATCAGTCCAATTAATAGTCATATTTGCAATTTAATCAACGAGACGATAATCGAAAGTTCAACTACTTTTTCTTTGCACTTATCCGCCCCTGCGTCGAAAATGAAATCATTAGATATGCGTGCGCAGATTTGTGGCAAATTATTTGACGGCCTATCGTACACGAGAACTTCCAAATCTTTGACACATTTATTTGACGAAAAGCTAGCATGCCAGCTTTTGTCAAATCTCATATGGCAAATGAAAATGTGGCAAATTTCCTCTCGTATACGACGCGGGCTTTAGTGAGGTTCCGCAGGCAGTACGAACTACGAAGTGTTTATGTGCTGACGTCATCACTTCGTGTGATGTCTTGACATAAGCGGCGTTCGGTTCGTCCATTTTCTACGAAGAAATCGGGAAAAGTTCGTGGTTAAAAAACGATCGTACGACATCGTGATTTTCTCGCTGATTTGTGGATGAAATTCGTATTTTTTGCGGTTTTATAGAAAGATTGAACAATTACACTTCAGTAGAAGGTTGATCAGCGTCAAAGTGGTCTGCAATTGTTCTGATTTTCGGGCTGTGAAATTTGTTTTTTTTCTGGACAGTCGGCGATGAGGTCGAATCATCTCGAATTTGATGAAAAGTAAAAGAAATTGCAATGAGCTTCTTGAGGACAAAAATTTGATTTGATTTGACACTTTTTATTTAACCAAACTATAATAAACAGTGTTATTCCTTGTTTCAAGTGAACAACCGTGGAACTAAAGATCGGACTTCGCATTTTGGCGGAAACGGAAATCTGCCACAAACGAAGTACGAAGTACGGAGCCGCGTTCGTAGTTCGGACTTCGTCTGAATTAGTATAGAATACCTTGGAAATTATCCAATTTGTTTAATGTTAGCCTGGGTTAGCCACAACATTGTAGTGAAGACATTGCTTTATGACATATATGCTTAAACAGGCATTACCACGTACAGGTATATGTATGATATTGTAAGGACGTGGATTTGAAATGCACCCAATTAAGAAATAAAGTGGTAGATTGTGCCTTAGCTGAATTTTTACTAGCTCAGTGAACAGCACTACAGGTATACGATTGCTTGTCAGCTATGTTTACATATTAAAGATTAATGTTATTGTTGCCAGGTGAACTTATTTCAAGTGTTGATTGCCTTGGAAGGGGATTTAGGTGGGTTTCTAAGATAGAGGGGTGAGGTGGGAGTGTTAAAAGAAATAACTAATTTTCGTATGCAGCATGCAAAACGAAAAAGGAGTAGTAGTGCCGCAAAATTTATCGCATTGCACGTCGCACCCCTCCCACAAAGGAACCCTGCATAGAAGCGACGCTGTCGTTGGCTATAACTTCCTCGATAGGACAGAGGACTTGAAGCCGGGGGTTGCATAGGGGAACGCTTAGTCCGGTGACTGAAGGGGGGGGGGAGCGCCACTCGAGCTGTGAATTTATGAGACCAAGTTTTTCTAGACCAGTTTTTTGCGTAGATTACGAATCTGAGTGCTGATCAGGCGTTTGAGGGGGCGTTTTCGAGATATGGTTATGTTGACATAAATGATGATCATGTTATATAATTATTAATAAAATATAAATTTCCAGGACTGCCCAATCCCATCTCTAAGTGTTTATGATGCCCCAGGACAACTGTTTTGATTTCTGGCGAGGGGGGTTGGTGGTTGCAGGTGTGCGTATTTGTATGGGGGGGGGGGGGAATCGGCGGGAAATGAGTTCACTTCGATTTAAATGATGATTTTCGTAGAGCTTGATGAAACATCTCTAAATATGTTTATAATATTCCCATTGTGTGGGGATGGACTCTGGGTTGGGTGCCCGCGGGGGTGGGGGTAACATGTGTTTTTGTGGACAGAAATAATTTGGTTCAAAATTGACCTTAAAAGTGGTTTCTCGTTAGCTTTTTCATTCATAAACCATATTGCGTCATTCAATATAATGGTACTTTTCAAGAGATATGGAAATGTACATAAAAATAACACAGTAAATCAGAGACATGTTTAGATATTAGTTTATTCTTAGTCTTCATCAGAAGATTCAAAATATGAGCAGGATAAATATCTTCTTGCTTGCTGACCTGCAGCTCGCATATATCCTTTGGATATGCTTCAGATAACAATTCGCATTTCAAATCTTCATTCTAGCCATGCAGCAAAGGAACACTACAGCAAGGTGGTAATAAAGAAAGGTCTGTTATTTTTTCAAACGAGATAATTAATTCGTTCAAACGAGATAATTAATTCGTTCAAACGAGATAATTAATTCGTTCAAACGAGATACCAGATAAATAAACGAGATAATTAATTCGTTCAAACGAGATAATTAATTCGTTCAAACGAGATACTAACTCGTTCAAACGAGATACTAATTCGCTCAAACGTTTGACACCAATTAAGTAATGGGTCTTCGTACAAAACAGAATAAGAGTGAAAAACATTTTTTCAAACATGACAAGTTGACAAGTTTATTTTATACTACAGTATTGCGTGAGTAACGTGACGTATACTTTTGGTGTATGGATTCACGCAAATACATTATTTGGGATTGCTCTCTTCTATTTTCCCCGGGTGACAAGGAGTAGGGTCGCCTGTCCAACCTCGTGGGTTTTCTCCGGGTCCCCCGGTTTCCTCCCACTGCTAAATACCCCTACGCGCAAGCGAATTACTGAAATAAAATTGAACGGTGTGTTAGTCCCGAAATGACCCAGTTTGCGTCAAGTCGACGTTACCCCCCCCCCCACCTCTTCTCTCTCTCTCTCTTCTACTTTTGCATTGTTTGTTTACGTCATTCATTCATTTAGTCGCCGATGCAAACGTTTATTTTATACTATGCGTGAGTAGCGTGACGTATGCAATTTAGGTGCATGGATTCACGCAAATACATCATTTGGGATTGTTTGTTTGGTTTAAACAATATTTTATTCAGAAAATATCATATAATACATTACAGTTTTAAAGATATGATACAAAAACAAGCTAAAAGCTTATATAAATTTGCTTCATATATGTTTATGTTATTTACTTTTGATATTTCAAGAATATGATAATGTACTTGTTTCTTGACGACGAATGTTTAATTCAACAATGTAAATTAATAAAATAAATAAATGAGTAACAAGCCGTTCTAACCAGCACGCCAACTAACTAAATTACATTAGAAATACTGTTAAAGTTGAAGAGTAATTTATTTATTTAAAGCCGTATTCCAGTCGTTCGCAAAAATGATTTTCTATGAGTCAAAACGTTTTGTTAGTTTTAAATAATCATGAACTATCTGGAATATATTTTCGTTTACATCATCACCAAGACCATTGTTACCTTTACTTAAACAAATGATAGACCGTTGGTCATATGGCAGTTTATTAATAGTAACATTGCGGATAGCTGAATAATTATTACAGTAGAGAAAATAATGTTCGGGATTCTCTATTTGATGGCCACATGAGCACATTGGGTTGTCACTAATATTCAAAAGGAATTTATGGAAGTTTAATTACTTTTGTTGTTACGAATTCTGCAATGGATCAGTCGGTACTGACGTTCGCCAAAATAATAATATCTTGGGATTTTAACCTCGCCGATAATATTATACAGCTCCCGCTTAAAGGTAGAAATATTTTGGGCGTCTTTAATTCTTTCAGGCAAAATATTCCATTCGTGAATTACCGACGGAAGAAAAGAGTTTTTATATAGCAAATGTTTAGCATGAATTTTTCTATATTGGTTTTAATTTCGCACTGGATAAGGATTTAAATCAGTAACTTTTGGGGGTACGAGGTTACTTAAATATCCGGGGGTTTGATTTTTGGACATTTGGATATGCCAGATTCGGCATATAGTTGTTTGTGCGAAGTGCCTATAATTCATTTAGTCGCCGATGCACTGTGACCGACTATACCCCCTACCCCCACATTTACGACCCTGTACGGAGGACTGATTGAACGAGATCTAGAAAGGAAATGATGTAACAGATTAAACATGCTTCGTGCTGGGTGTTGAGGCAGAACTGTGAAATAATTGGGAGATGTCTTAAAGGGAATGAGTTCAATTATTTTCTCTACTAAAACACCTACCTATTCACAGGTTCCATCCAACTACTCCCCGCCACTTGGACTTTTGCCTGCTGCCTTTCTGTCCAGGTGTGACAGTTTGAATTGACTCCCGGTGTGTGTTTGGTCATGGGCACATGCGCATGTCCGAAACTGTTGTTAGCGTTAACAACGAAGCAATATCTACTTCCGGTGCAGTGAGATGGTTCCTGATCAGTGATCAGTTCAGGACAAAGTATTACATATTTGGTTAGAGTTTTGTCATTAATAAACATACTTGTTATCGTGATTAGCTGTTGTTTTAGTCATCAGTATAGTTACGATCAACGGATCTAAGTGGATTGGCTTGAAATTGAAACTTCTGTCGTTCGTG